CTATGAAGTGCTCTTACCTCGCAAAACCCACATTTTAATAAAGAAATTCTTTGTTTAATGATTAAAGGAGTTCTGAGACATGAGTGAAGAGTGAGGGGGAGGGCTGTGGTGGTAAGTTCAGGAACGGAAAAAAAAAAAGTGGTTCAGGGTGACAGCAGAGTATTTTCTATCTAGCCCTGTAATTTGTTAAAGTTACAATAAGATAGGGTCATGTTTAGGGTTAGGTTAGCTCCTTCTCCTTTATATTATTATCTCTTTTAGCATCATAGAATGTGATTAAATTTACAGTTTGACTACATTAACTGCCAGCTTTCCTTTGCCTACTGTATCATGAGGACAGTCATTCTTTTAAGTGGAAATTTTCTCCTGGGCTTTCACCTCCATTTTACCACTGAGCTAGATTTTCTTACATCACAAAATAACAAACAAGAGGTTACGCTTCTCTGTCTCTCACTCATCACCCGGGCTGAGATCTAGCAACTTTTAGCATAATGACTTTAGCGGGGATGCCTTCTCTGCACAGTCCATCAGCCCAGCCATCTCGCAGATTAAATTATGTCGGTGGGCATTAAAGCTTTGATGCTGTATTTGGGCAGCGCACACGCATCCATTTGCAAAATTCCATATAACAAAATTAAAAACATGGACACCTATGGAAAATGGCTTGGCACCGGGCACTTAAAACCAACCACTCTAAACAGGCTGCTGACTAATGCATTTGTAATCATTTCTGTGATCAATGTTAGATACTGTGCAATAAGATTAATCAGCCATATGCAAAACTGGGATCGGGTATACAAAGTGAAAGGAACGGGGGAGGCAGAGATAAAAGAGTTGAAAGAAATAGCTGCACTATTATGTATGAAAAGGCAGTAAACACAAGCGCACCTGCATTCTTCCTCTGCAGTCTTGTGTGTTTGAGCGGCGCCGGACCGTTGTTCTCCCTCAGCTGTGCTTTGGCATCTGTGCGTGGCCATCTCGCCGCTGAATAGCCGGCTGATTATTCCAAATCTAAGGGAATATTCAAACAAGGCCCATAATGCATTCTTCCATATGATTCTCCAGAGCGCAGGCAGCTGTTCGGCAGCTTTCACCGCCACACTGCCTCAGAGAGGGACACATTTCTACACTCAATTAATAGGCCCCATTAAAGCGGAGAGAAGTTTGACTAATGCATGCTGGGAATCTGTTTGTCTTTTGGAAGAGGATACAGTCAGTAACAAAACACACATGAAAAATACAAAAGGACTGCTCACAAATTTGGAAACAGTAGATATGTGCTGAAATAGTGCTGCATGTTTAGAAAATGTTGATTTTTTGGTTTAAAAAAAAATACAAATTTCATAATTAACAATTTTCTATGTACAGTAACTGTCAGTGTGTTCCTCCAAATTGCAGTTGAGTGTGTCATCCAGATTACATGCAGGTCAATCTGCCGAGCCCGCCCATTGAAACGATAAGGCATTAATGACAGGAGTGTCAGCTGAATGAGACTGAAAGAATGAGTGAGGATCAGTGTCTCTTTGTGCGCCTCCGTTTGGCCACACAGTGATATGAGAAGCTGCAGCGTCGGCCGAGCTTGTAAAGTTCCACTGTCTGATGAATTCTTTCAGTCTGGCTTCGAACAACGGGGAGGTTGTTTGTCCAAGGGCACACCTGTAAGGTGCACAGCTACAGGCGCTCTTCAGTGCCCCGCTGCTGGACTCAAAAGCCAATTATTACTCTCAGAAGATAGAGCAATGTCAACTTCAAACGCAGCACATTCTTCAGGCAGATTAGGCTGAAATGATCTTTTATTATTGGGGCCTACAGGATGAATTGGACTATTTGCTGCTCTGTGTGCTGAAATACAAGACAGTATAAATTGCAGAGGTATGTTTGGAGTCCGGCTGACACAGTGTCTTTATGAAGGGGCAGCAGAGAGGATCAGATTAAGAAGCAGAACAGTGAGTGTCTTTCAGAGGGCTGCTGCTATCATCTCTGTCTTCTTGTCCGCGCCTGTTCAGAGGTTAAATGAAATGGCTCTAATAAATGTTTTGGTCTGGCTGATGCACCCGGCCGGCACTGAAACAAAAATAGTGTGGAGAAGAAGCCCGCTGTAAGATCACAGAGAGGAACAAATGGAGGGCGGGAGAACTATGTCAGCACATTACCAACATTAGAAACGGACTTGTTTTCACTTAAAGCTCAATTATACTGCGGCTTCCAGAAACAATTATATTGATGAATGCTCTCGAAGTTACTGTAATTAAATTATTCCATTTAATTAACAAATTATATTGAATTTTTCCCCAGAGAACGGCATTAGCCTCATCTGCTGTTTCACAAACAGAGTTCTCTAATGTTGTGTGTATGGAAGTGATTACTAGTGCCTAATGAAATGGTGTCAGATCAGATAAATGCTACAACAAGCCCTCTTTGTAACCCAGCCAAACTTCAGATGAAATAATAAAGCCCAAGAAGAATTATTGATTGTGTTTTTCAAGGACAGCCTTTCTGAACTGACAGCCAATACATTTTAATCCACAATGCCTTCCCTAAAAGAATGTATAGAGGCCATGCAGAATTATGCAGGTCTTTTAAAAATGTTATAGTGAAACTTTATAGTGACAATAATTACTGAATGTAACGTACCAGTGAAATGTAGAAGCAAAGGACTATTGTGTGTATAGTCACTCTGCGTAGAAGGTAATTACATACAAGTGGAATCCATTAACCGTCTTACTTTGATGGTTCAGCAGTAAAAAGCCACGGGACCGGAGTGCAGCTATTTTATATTCAACAATAGCTGACCAATGCCCTCTGCTGGGCACTAAGGGAATGTGTGCTTCAAACATGTGCTTCATTCACGGAGAAGTGTTTGAGTTGAGTCACACTGTATTTTCCTCAGGCTAGATTTTTCATTTATTTTATTTTTATTTTTTTCATTTATTTCTTATAGTTAGTAATGTGAAAAGCATATGGATTCTGTCTTATTGATATTGTTGACTATTTGCATATAGTTTTAATATAAATTAGAAAATGCCACTGGATCACTGTTAGGAAAAGCCAGAGCCAAAAATGACAGTTGGCTGCTCTTTGAGATAGGACATCCATGGACTTAAATTACATTTTAAAAGGTCAACACATGACAGGCAATTAGTCAGCTCCTAATTGGATGATCAGCAACTATTTATGTATTTTACACTTTTGACTTCAGAAGGCAGCAGTGCAGTGAATAAACAAAGCAAATAACCTGGATGTTTGAGCAATTAATCAAATGTATTTTCATTATTCTAAAACTAGAACTACATATCAATAAAACTACAATTTGAGCAATTTTCAACATGATCAAATAACTTGACTCTCTGTATCTTTGCCTATGGTTTATACCAGGTTTAGTAATTTAATTTAGTATTTCTGGTATAGTCCTGGTATGATCCTGGTTTGGACCTGGTTTAGTCCTGGTTTAGTTCCGGTTAAAACCTGGTTTGGTCCTGGTATATTCCCGGTTTAGTCCTGGTTAAACCCTGGTTCGTTGTACTGTAGCAGATGTGCAGGTTCCAGCATGGTAGGTCTACATGGCTCTGTGTAATACACCTGAGTGAGGCAGTGGAGAAAAGCCTGACAAGTCAATTGTGTTTAGTTAAGCTGATGTCTAAAGCTGCTGCACTGTGATCTCCAGAGGGCTGCATGTGGGATTAGGGATTCTTCTTCACAGCTAAGCCAAATATCAGGAGAATATCCAAGGCTATGAAGAACAAAGAGGAAGATAAAAAAACATGGTGTCAAAGTTCCCACAAGGTCACAGTGAGAAGCAGCGGCACACTCCAAGAGGATTCAAGTGTGTTTCCAAAAAAGAGAGAATAAAAGAAAGTAAGTTGTGCAACTCAAAGCAGTTACCTCAAAGGGCTTTATCTTATCAAACAGATCTCTAAATAAGGTCAAATTGCAGAGAAATCCTATAGAAAACAGCATTGAAGGAGCGATCTGTGTTACTTGGATATTGTTTGTTAGAATTCTTCTGTTTGATACCTTTGATGTGGGACCTGTAACCACATTATGAGCTTAGGTTTCTTTGATGTATGTGGCCTCTGCAACATAAAATATATTTGATTTTGTGAGATTTGTTTATGAATACAGATTAAATTAGTTTAAACTACTGTCTGTGTTCTAGTTTAAATCTACAACAAACAGCTATAAACATTTTTGTTGACTTTTGCCCCACTTATGGATTGGATTCTAGGAAAGGTGGCATGATGATTACTAAAATATGCAGGGGTACACTATTGCTTGTTTGCTCAACATTTCCAGGTTAAATATCTCAAACAGACAAAACTGTTCAATGGATGTTTAAATGCTTTTTACTTTTTGACATGCATATTGATGATTTTCCCAACACAAAACAGGCCTCGATCAGAACAGCAGCATCAGGCCAAATTGATCTGTAGTTCTTATAGGAAAGTGATTTAGGAGACATTGTATTTGAGCCCTCCTGATATATTCTTTCAGATTGATTTCAAATTTGTCATGTTCAGAATTGGCAGCTGTGTGCCTGCCAATCTGTCTAATCACTTTTGAAAGTGCCTTTGTGAAATAAAACCACAGACCCATACAACTGTGTAACTTTGGCTCTTCTTGATACCTCTTTGACTGCTTCCAAGTCACTTTTAGCAAAGTGAAACTATTTTAAGGCTGCACTTTAGAGCTTGTTTCCAGGGAGATGTTATTACTTTGGATTATTCCACAGTATGGCATTAAACCTATCTAGCTTGCATGCATTCTATTACAAGTGTTTTTGTTTAAAAAGAATACATATATTCTGATCAGGGATGCCTCTCCACAGACTTGACCAGTCTCTCCTGAAGTTGCAATTTTCTTCATTGAAACTAAAGCTCAATGTGAGTCATCATAATCATAATCTTAAAACCCAAAGAAGATATGTTTTATATCTACAAGTCTATACATGTCTCCTATACAAAAGTGACCACCTATAAACCACAGCACAGTATCACAGCATGTTACATACAAAATGCAACTTTATTAACCTTCATGCCTCCATTCATATTAATATACATGTATATTTTAACTTATTTTTCATTTCACAGCTCCATCCATATGAAAATACAGAGAATAAAAGGCAAAAACACTGACTGGATACTTAAACAACTTTGAGGGAAAAAACAGAACAGAAGAAAAAAAAAATAGGACACCTTTTCAAAAAGTTTCTGAAAAATTGCAGGAATAGAAATTACTTTTATAGATGTGGAATTCCATGAAGCAGAATCTCCCTTTTGAAATCACAATTTTGTTAAGGTAAAGAATGAAAAACAAAATTTGAATATTTACACTACACTCACTTTACATAAATACAGGAACAACAATTACTGTACGCAATATCAGCAAACTTTAACATAGGCATTGGCGTCACTACTGAAAAATCTTCATAAAACCAGAAAAATCAAAATTGTAGTAAATAAAACAAATCATTGATATTAGTAATTATTGACAAAGGCATCAGTCTACAGCAGGAATCCCACTCGCAGTACAATTGTGAGCAAGATTTCTTATGATAATTTTTAGAATGTGTGAAAAAGAAATTTGAGCTGTGACTTATTGCAAACAAAGTAATGATGCATGGTCTAAGAACTGTGGAGATGTGATGGTAGAACACTTGACACTGCGATATAAGGCTCAGTGCTAAAGGAAAAATAGAAATAGAGGTCCAACTTGCATATCTGTGCTTTTTTCCAAAGATGTTATTTAGTTATTTAGTTAATTTGAGTATGTTTTAAAATCCTGCACCCAGGCTAATAAAGTCATTGTACAAGTTTGTGATACGAGGCACTATTTATTTATTATTGCATAACTTTGACCCTGGTTACCGTTACAAAATTATGCTTTAAAAACGAAAGGAGAATGTTCTAAGGGAAATACAATACACCCTGTCTGTGTGGAGATCTTCAAGTCTAACTGACTTTCTGAAAAGAAGTTTCTTTTAAGGCATGCAACGTTAAATAGTGACAGTAGAGTTAGTGAGATGTTCTTGATAACTTTGTAGGTTAAAGCAAAAACACATCACCGGGAATTATCAAGTACCTTTTTAGGTGATTTATTCTGATTATACAGTTTTCCTAATGTTCAAGGAACACCTTTCTACCTCCACCTTATTATGATGTCATAAATGTGTGCCATAAGGATAGACTGGGTTTGACTGCTTTATAGATAGAACCCTGAAAATGCAGAAAAATATTGGCCAAAACAAATAAAATATAATTTAAATGGAGATTAGTAATTGTTTTGTAATCCAGCCTCATGGGAAAGGATGCCAGAAAGTGATACAGAAACATCACCACATTTTGCGTTTATTGCTATTTCTGTTTGAAAACCGAACCCACACATCACTCCTGATCAGCAGACATGTATCCAGTCTCGTCCCAAAGACGGAGACTTATGACATCATAATGGTCTCTGCAGTGATGGTCCAAGAATAACTATTTGAAATGTGTTATCAGAACATGAGCAACAGAAGGAAACCAGAGCTAGATAAATCATTTAGCAGTTAACACTTTCAGCCTTCAGAAATAAAAGGTTTTGATCATGTCAGTTGACCACAAAAGTAAACCAGGACATCACATATGATCTTGTACATGATGAACACCATTAGCCAAATTTCAATGTAAATCAAATCAGATAAATTACAGTCTCTGAAAAAGACCTGTATAAACACATGTTCTAGAAATCCAAAGCCCTATTTTTCCAATATATATACAGGCTGTAGAACTTTGTAATAATTTTCTCTTCACTATGACATATATTACAACATTTTAAAACTTTTTACATAAAGGAAATCATTACTGTATATTCATCTAAGTGCCCCACAATCATATTCTCATACTATAAAGAAGATAAAATATATCATGATGATTATGTGTGAATTAATCTGAAATAAAATGATTTTAAATTATTATAATATTAAACAAAAAGGTGCTGATATGCTTTTGCCAACAAATAAAATAATGGTAATGACATGTGCACAAGAAATAAGGATTATATAGTTTTCTTCTCTCAGAGAAGCAGGGTTAAAATGTAACATGTTGATAAACTAAATAGGTGATACACTGTTAGTCTGTGGGCCTTGAGGATGTGCTGTTTGAGACTGGGGGATTTGACTGTGTATGTGCGCTCTGTGTTCTTGGCTTTTCCAAGGTGCTATTATCCAAAAGCTTGTCATTTCCTTTTGTTGGCTCCAGTCCAAGAAATGCATTTAGCAAGTGCTATCGGATGATTCGAGCTGCCCTGATGCTCTCTGGCTTATGTCTGAAGCTTTCATACGGGGAAGAAAATAATTTAATATAGAAATGTCTTTTAATATCACCATAAAAGTCGTGAAGAATACTAAGTGGTGATACTTTGGTTTGCCAATACTTGTGTTTGCTAAAACATAATGAAACACATACAGTACTGTGCAAATACATGAATTGTTTGTCCAAATGAAAGAGTCAAGTTTATGAGATGAACATAAAAATGTAAAAGATTGACTGAATTTGAAGAGCTTGCAGAGATTTCTTATTAACAGCCACACCAATGTTTGCACAGCACTGTACTGCACAAAGCTGGCAATGGAGAAATGGTTAAAGGATATATAAAAAGATCATGTGCTTGAAGCAAGTTCCCTGTGCTGGGGCTCAATACTAACCAAAAGAACAAGGTGGTAGCTTTCCAGAGTGGGGCAAACCCTCTTATCTTGACATCAATTCCTTGTTTTTATTTGTTAAAATTGTATTGCTCATCTACAGTATAGTTTTAGTTAGATACCACACAGCTCCTTTAACACTGCAGTACTGTTGTGCAAAACTACAATATTGTCACTGAGGAACACACGAGCAGAAGTCTGTAAAGTGCCTCAGTCTCACCCAAAGTCCTGTGATTGTTTCCATGTCCACTGTATTGGAGGGATTATCTTTCTAAGTCCAAAGCAAAACTGAAATTAAACATACTGAGAGAATATTTACCTTTGAAGATTGCACTTTTACTGATTGCTAATCACAGCACAAAATCCACAAATTGTAGGAAATGTTTAAACGAGGCTCAACTTAAATGAGAATGGGGGTTCATGAGAGGGGTGTTTTTGCTGGTGGGATGATATGCCACTTTTCATTGTTTAACAAACAATGAAGGTCCAAAACGTCAAAAATAGTGGAGATGTAGATCCATTTACGTTGCTTTTTACTCCAATCCCATTATATGGCTGCGGGATAGGTGAAAGTCCAGCCCTCTTATAGCTTTTGTAATAGATGCTTTCACATACTGTATAACAGCAGGCTGGAACAGGCAAAGGAAAGCATGGTGAAAGAGCTCCCTCTGCTGGTTAAAAAAGACAAGAAGGCGCAATACTGAAGCCTGTAAATCCAACCAAGACCTTGTAGCCCAAGTATTTCCTGTGGTCCAGGGCAGGTCCTGTCTCTGGTTCAACAGAGCACACACAGGAAATCCATTCCACAAAACAGGGTATTTCACATTAAAAATGCTGAAAAACAGCAATTTATCAATAAGAATGAAAACATCAAATTAAATGTTTCTTGATTGCATTTGTATCTTTAGTCCCAATAAAAGTTGTGAATTAAAAATCTAAATGTAATATTTACCAACAGTGCAGTAAAAGACAGTTTTCTTTTATTATAATCGACTGACAGTATACAATTCCTTCCAAGGATCCAGCCATGATCCTCTTCTTTCCTCATGTGTGTGTGTGGCTGTGTCCAGGCCAGCTGAAAACATTCACAGGGAGATCCCGCTCCCCCAACCGCCTGCCTGTGTCACTGATCATGCCCTCTCTCTCTCTGTAGCGAGTGTCCCACCATGCTCTGTCGCCCCCTTGTGTCACACGAGCATATGTCTCCTCCTGTGCAGGGCGAGGTGGTCTGAGCGGGAGAAGCTGCGGTCACAGTCTGCACACTTGAAGGGTTTGACTCCCGTGTGTTTCCTGTAGTGCCTCGTCAGCTCGTCGGAACGCGCAAACTTCCACGTGCATCCGTCCCAGGTGCATTTGTATGGCTTTTCCCCTGTACACGGACACACAACAAGGTCAGGAGGCACACAGCATAGGAGATCATCAGCCTATTTACATTAACATAGGAACTGTCTGACACTACTGAAGTAATGTATGCCTTAACGCTAAAAGTCACTGTGAACTTTGGGCTCTTTATGGTACAAACTTGAAACTTTTAGTCAAGTTAGAATGCTGTTTCCTCCTCAAAAACATTCCAGGAGTTGTGATTTGTTTCATTCTCACATGTTTGAGTAACTCTTTATTATTAATCTGTCAACATCTCCAGAGCTCAAAGTGCTCTGTTCCACCTTGTGATATCATGTAGTGGTAGTTTTCAAGTCAGCAGCAACCTTTTACATTTAGTTCACTTGAGATTTTCAAGTCCAGGGCTGAAATTATGTAAATAAGTGCAGTGAAGTTGTATGGCTTTTAAAAACACAGTGAAGAACATCCTGTATTATCATATGACATCACAAGGTGGAACAGAGTGTTTTCTGTTTGGGAGAAGAGCTCTTAAATATGCAGGATTTGTGTGTTTAAGCATGTGTGAATGAAACATACAAAATCCCCAGATCTGTTTGTGATTGAGAAATAACATTATAACATAGATCAGAAAATATTGTAATATGGGTCAATAAGTTCAATTTGAGGTGGGATATTTATAGGTAAAAACAAAAGAGATTTTGTTTTTAACCTATAAATGCCATATTTTACGGAAATAAAAGTGGGCACATCAGATGCTTTGTTGCAGCTGTTAAATAAAAAAAAAAAAAGAAGAATTTTTAATAACTGAATAGTTCAATAGAGTGTATGTGAAGATCTGAATGTAACCCACGGCATTGTCTGGCTCACCTGTATGTGTCCTCCTGTGGGCTTTTAGATGAGAGCTTTTTGTGTACACTTTATTGCAACCATCAAAGTCACATCTGTGAATCCTCCGCTTTTTGGAATCCGGAGACTCTGATCTCCGAGGGCGACGTATGCTGTCAATACTGAACGGCGACATGGAACTGTAAAACCAAGAAAACAAACGGGGGTAAATGTTTAAAACTCTTTTCAAATATTTAAAGGTTAGATTAGGTTAGTTTATTTGCCATATGTAGTTAAAAACCACATTGGAAAAGTGCACAATGTATCTTTTTTGATGGAGGATCTGCATGTTTCCCTGAATGTCATTGCTTTATCTTGAATGTTTCACAATATGGCATTAAACTCCATAAGCCGATAAGCAGGTGGGGGTCAGCTCTGTGGAAAGAGACTGCACTCACAGTAAAAAAAATCATGTTTACTAGCTGAATAAATGCAAGATAGATTTTGTTTAATGTTCATTTACAATACTATGGCTTTACATATCTATGCACATTCGCTATTGCAAAATTTATCCAGTTATGTTATGTAACTCTTATTTATCGTGCAAGTAACTACAGAACAGCTTTGTATGAATAAAAGTTAATTATGAAATGTCCTGGGCCTCCATCAGTTAGTTAATACTCTCATTACATCCAATTAAAGGCCCAGCCAGGATGTTGGCTTAACCGATATCATGGAATCAATATCCAGTCCAGCTAAATTTCTTGGAACTGCAGCGATATTCAATACCAGTATCAGTATCAGTGCATCCCTAAGTATTAGGGGTGTAACGATATCTAAGTCTTACGATACGATATGTCATGATATGAACCTCACGGTAAGATATTTATTGCAATATCGTGGGAAGGCTCGAGATACAGAGGGGAGGCTCACAATTAGAGATCTAACGATATTCAAATCTCTGTACGATTTTTATTGCAGCTAAAACTGTGAATATTTGACTTTTTCCTCTTAAAATGCCTTGAAAAGACTTAATCCAAAGAACTAAGACTTAAAAGTGCTTAGAACTGTTATTTCTTCTTGTAGTCTGCACTAAAATGGAGCAAAGGATCATGGTCTTTGTAGTGTTTTTTTAGCTGTTGCTGCACCATAGCTCTTCATTTAAACAAAGAGACTTGTGATTCGATATTGTGATGGTCCATGGTATTATTGTGAGAACTTTGACGATACAATATCATGATATTTCCGTTATTGTTACATTCCTACTAACTGTGGAACAATATGTAGAACAATAATATCTCTATGGAGGCAGACAGGTGGAGAAATCTGCAATTAAAAAGCAAAAATATAAATAAATCAACTAGCACTCTAAAACAACTTTCAAAACTATGTAAAAGTTGTATTTGTGTATATAACTTATTGTAGAAGGGACTGCACACTGAAGACTATTAACTAAAATTGTTGTGATATTATTCTGTCCAGCAGGTGGCAGTGTAGTACTACATCACCACCACAATGGCCAGATGAGCGTCCCTAGCTGGTCTTGTACTGCCTTCACTCTCACTAATCAATACCTCAGACTGTTTTATTTCCTAATGCTGATTGATTACGTTAATGATTACTGAGATTTGTGTCATCAATACATTTGGCATGACATTTCCTCTGCTTTGTATTGTCAATATTGTTGTTAATAGTGCCATTTGTCATCCACTGTCAGATCTGTACTGGATTTATTTGTGTACTTCAACAAAGACATTCAGAAAGATTTTCAAAAAAAAAAAAAATGAGATGAACGCAGGCATGAAGAATCTCTAAAGTCCATCTCTGCTTCTCTAACAGAAATAAACACATGACTGGTCCACTTCTGGTAAAAGGACAAGAAGCGCTCTGTTTGTTAAAAGGGTGGAGACTTCTCAATACTACGTAATGCAATGCTATGGCAGCCAATAATACACTTTTGACCGTATAAAAACAATATACTTAATCAATTATGAAATGTCAAATACCGTGAAGAAAGAGAATACTAGAAGATGCAACTTTAAACATGGGATTGTCAACTTTTTCAGATGTACAGCCTACCATGGACGAATTTTCTGTCTTTCTATATCTTTTCAAAGTAACGTGATTTGTCAAACCATCGGTAATAGGGACAATCTAAACAAAAACACCCAAAGCAACGTAAAGAGTCACTAGCTCAAATCCAAACAAATCACCTGTTGCTTTTGGCCACGTGCCAATGTGAGCCTCTGCAGGAAATGAGCACATGGGTTAGATATGACTTGCACTCAATCTCCCCTCTAATTCTTCTCTCTCTTTCTCTCTCTCTCTTCTTTGTCTCTCTTCGTCTTTGTCACTCTCTCTCTCCTTCTCTCTGTCCATACACACTAGGGCCCACAGTGTTACATGATGTCAAAAGCCGAATATTTAACCTAAGACAGGCTTTCATAATGCTAAAGGAACGCAGCGAGTTTATTGGGCTAATCTGTCCGGGTGAAGTGGCGTCATAGTAGTAGGGTGTGTGCGTGTGTGCGTGTGTGCGTGCGTGTGTGGAAAAGGAAAGTCAGGATGATTTGGTTAATCATGAGAATTTCAGAACCAAAAATAAGTTACTTAAATTCATGCTACACTTGAACAGATTCAATGTCGGTTTACTTTTTATCTGTTTAATTCATATCTGGCTGTTCAGGTTACATACATTTTGTTGTTCAGAAAGTTTGATTTCATAGTTTGTCACATAGTAAAGAAATGATGATCTATTAGACATTGTGAATCAAAGTGAATTTTACTGTTGTTTGGCTATGGTGTCAGTTATCATAAATAATCATAAAATTATTATGTTTCTTCTCACAATAATCTTAACACTAACATTTGAAATTGAGCCCTTCCTAATGTGTTTCTGGGGGAGTGAAGAAAACAAGTAGGGATTTACAGTGCAAACCTCACGCTCAGATGAAGAGGATGTTTACATACAAACTGTGAAGATACTACGTGATTGGAATATCATTTAAGATGGTCTGGTTATAAGAGCTTTTAAAAGACTGAATATACTTGACTGTAATGCATTTTGTGTTACGTTTTCGTATATAAAAAAAAAAGCCTTTAAAAATAAAGTTTGATTTGATTGGATATTGCCTAAAGTAGTTCTAAGAAGCAATAGTCGGGGGTAGACTTAGTAATTGAAAATAGCACTTTTTAATTGAGAAATATTTGAGATAGTTAAAAAGGTAATAATCTCGGCGGGTTGTGACTGAAAAAAATGGGACCATTTTCTTCTGTTTCAACAGTTTGAAGCAAAAACTTCAACATAAAATACTATTGCATTTTAACAGTTTTTTTTGCATTTGATTTATATTTTATTATTGTTAGTTATTTAGGTTTCATTAAATTCATAAAAACTTTAATCAATATCTAAAAATAAAAATAGTACCGTAATCCTTTCTTTCCTTTCGTCCTTCCTTCTTCTTCCTCCTTTCTTTCCTTTTCTGACTCTGCTCAGATGTTTTACGCAGTATCTGTACCTCTCACATCTAGTTGTCACTATAGACTTGTTATATGTTCACATGTGTAGTTTCACAGCTCCATATGCTTTTGTTCCTCTTGTAAAGCTGCTGCAGGCAAAATCTTGCTTGAACCCAGAGTCACGGCAGCATCACACAATCCCTGTCTGTTTGAGTGCAGACCCGAGACACGAACACAGCTAAGATCAATGTAAGAGCACATCCTCCTTTAGGCCTATTGGATTTCTCACTTTTACCTCTCCTCTTCACTCTATGGCTGCAGTCACACCAGCCTCAGATGTGTCACAGGTCACACTAGTTCACGTCATTGTGACTATGCTTAGAAAAAGAATCCCAAATCTTGAAATCCAAGTGTCTTAGATAAAGACAGATATTTGGGTTGTTAAAGGTTCCATATTACAAAAAAATGACTCTTGTGAGCACTTCCTGTATTACCAGATGACATCACAAGGTGGAACAGTGTGTTTTCCATTTGAGTGAAGTACTTGGCCTTAATATACAGGTTTGCATGTTAAACATGTGAATGAAACAAAATGCAACTCCAGGTATGTTTGTGATGAGGAAACATTATAACATAGATCAGATAATAGCGTAATATGGGCCCTTTAAAGAGGACATATGTGAAATCAACCTTTTTGAGATTTTAATCATTTTTAACAGTGTTCTTTTATCAATAGCTTACTCATGCATTCATGCATGTTTGAGTAATCCTGTACTGTCCTGCATGAGTCCTGCTTGAGTGTTCAGGAAATTTCTGTTTTCACCTACCCCCTATCGCCACCTGCTTCTGTGTATTTACTTGCAATTATTTAAACAATGCAGACACTGCGTCATACAAGTAAGGTTTAAAAATGTCACGTAGCCATTTTTCAACAACAAAAATACAAAAATGAAAATCCATTGCTTGTTACAGTGAAACACTATAAAGAAGCAAGGGCTTTCAGCTCTGCAGTTCTGAACAGTATGTCAGTGGACTTGTATTTCTATTATTACGCCATTTAAGATTAGTATTGCAGTTTACAATGAATTATTCAAAAATGTGCAATAGCGATCTACATATTATGTTTTGGTTTAGTAGTAAATACCACAAAAAATGCACAGTATGTCTAATGTTTAAGGTACTGAAATTCAATAGTAGAAATTATTTTTATATTACTACTACGCATTTTTGATCAGTATAGTATCAGTACTGATTAGTATCTGGGTTTTAACTCTAGATCAAACATTTGGCCCTGCTCCAGCTCTATAACATTTTCAGTATCAAGTATGTCAGTTCACATCATTTCTACTAAACAACCAAACGTGACAGCAGCTTTGTGATGAAAACAGGAAGCTTGTTTTGTTCCTGTGTGTATCCTATTGGACAGGGAGCCTATGGGCATTCCTGTACCTGTCTTGATTCCCCTCGCCTCACCTCACCTCTCCTCCCTCACCTGCTCTGCTCTCTGGTCGCCTCTGGTCTTTGGGGAAGAGCCAGACTTGTCTACCAACAGCAGCCTCTGCCCCCAAACTACACACACACACACACACACACACAAACACACATCTTCTCCTCTGTGCTCATTCTCTGTGGTTTTCACTCATGCTCTCCCACAAAAGCCCATGCAGCGGTCCCCAGGGAAACACATGAATATGGAAGAGGCTGCCCAAGAAGCGCATGACACAAACCCCTTCCCTCCTATCTCTCCTCCTCACCTCTTTATTTATACGTGGATACCTGGAATAGAGGCTGCAGGCACTCCCATCCTCCGCCCTGATGTCCTCTACTCCCTCACTACCCAATTACATAAAAGCATCTGCCTCTAAATTAAAGCTATAAAACAAGACTATAGCATGTAGACACCCACCACTTGGGAAAAAGTTAGAACAATATGTAAAATAGGTATAACAACAGTGAAGTGCGTTTGGTATTTTCTTGGTTGGTTGCTTTCAAAATCTCCATGACATATTTTTTTTATTCAGACATAAACATCCATATGCTTCAGTGTTCATACTTGTGTTTGTGTTTTCCTACTCAGCATGTCTTGTTGTAGTGTCCCCATTATGCAACTATCCATGGGTTTCATAGGGAAAACAAAACAGGACCATTTCCATAGCAATTAATAATGCAAAACTAAATATTCTACTTTTTGAATGGCCAAAAAGTCCTCAAAATATTGTCAATTACTAGGGAGCTAAAGTCCATTATTAGACATGTCTACACAAAAATGTTGGTTTACACTTTTCTTAACAAAGGCTGACCTCCTTCTTAAACCACTCAGCATGCTTACAGTATATGCACAAGCACATAGGATTTCTGAAAAGCACCCATACTTTTTCATGCACAAAGCCGGCTAGAATTTCCACAAAGCGCAGTCTGCACTTTGCACAGTGAGACAGAGTGGGCAGGCCCTGGCACAGCTCTGCGCTCAGGCTGCCTGGTGATTTATCTCCATAGTGAAGGCCTGGGCACTGAAAGGTTGGGCTCTGCCAACCTCTGTTCTCCTCTGACCACCCGGCGCCCACGTGTGGCACTCTGGGGTACAGCTGTCCCTTTTAATAACCCGCAATGAATCCACACTTTGAATGGTGTGCGTTTGTCTCCAAACAACAGCATATACCACACAACCTCCTGCACTGTGTTTTAGAGATCTACCACAATAGAGTATATAATCAGAAACTTCATAGGCTATGTGGGAAAAGGACTAATAATTGTTCTATACAAATCACACACTACTACAGAGAAGTATAGCAAGTCTTCAATATACCACAAAGCTGGATGAATTTCCCAAGGACTGTTTAGTACGCTAGAGCCATATGCGTATGAAGCCCACGCAGCAACACCCAAAAATAATGTGCACGTCTTCATAAAACTAGATCTATCCAACATGCCTAAGCTAAAGTGCCAAAGGGATAAACAGTTCAAACTGAAATAAATGTATCATACATTTTACATTCTTTAACTTTTCTTATTGTTTTGGCGCATTATTGTTTCTATGTAGCAAGTTCCCATGTTCACTAGCATTAGACTGGCCCCAGTTATTTTTTTTGCAGAAATAAAGTTGCATCCCTAATAGCATGTCCATGAAATATTTGCTTAATAAATGATGAGTTTCAGTGTAGTTTAATTTAGCTGAATATAGTTTTAATAATTTACAGTATACAATATAAAACATGTACCACAAAATGCAAAAAGTGGTGGGGGAATTGGAGCACCCACACGAAACCTACCCAAAGACAGGGTAAACATGCAAACTCCACACAGAAATGCCCCATGCTGCTCAGGAGTTGAACCCTAGCTGTGAGGATATGAGTGCTAACCTCTATGTCACCATGCAGCCCAGACATGTATATAAAATAAATTAGGATACTCACTCTTGCACTGCACGGGCAATAGACAGAGCAGTGGAGCCTGTCTCATTAACACTGTCCAAGGTCACGTTTGGCAGGTCATCATCTTCACTGTCACTCTTGATGTGCCGTGGAGATAGACCATTGAGATCTGAGTGTCCTGAGAAGAAACAACAACAAAGTACAACAGATATTACAACTACGCCACCTTGGAAATGCCTCATCTGAACTCATCTGAAGCTGGGGTTGGGCCTGGTTATTCGTAGTGAGATGGGAGACCTATGGGAATACCTGGTGTTGCAGTAGAGCAGCAGTGACTCTAGTCCATACTGCTGTTGTGTCCTTAGGCAAGACACTTCACCCACCTCGCCTAGTACGAATGCTGTGTGTGTGGTTGATTGGTGGTGGTCTCAAGTCATGAATAATGCAATGTTAAGGATCTTTGAGCGCCCCAAAAAAAATCGCCATAAAGATAAAATGCATTATTAAGATATGAATGTCTGTCTTAGATTTTATTAATCATTGTTTAAACAAATACAAAATATTATCTTTTGAGTCACTTGAGTATTTGGTCCTGGGTTAGCACCCAGGACCAAATACTCAAGTGACTCAAAAGATAATATTTAGATACAGTCCTAGCACTGTGCATGACAAGGCCTCAGTGCAGAGATTTTCAGTCAGGAGCTGTCAATCTAAACTAAATCTTCATTTATGGACAGGGCAGTGGAGCGTGACACAGTAGCCAGCAGTCACAGTAAGAGAGGAGAATGCAAATAAGTCAGTCCCACATCTACACACACTGTATTCTTATCAGGCTCTGCCCCTCTGATAAGCAGAGGGTGCAGGGTTGTTTGTACATTTTACTGTCTTTGTGCAGCTGGCAGGAAAAATTAAATTCTCTGTTGGAATCTTATTGCAATAATGTTTAGAATATATATGGGTTTGTGAATTATATCACATTCTCATTGTTTTCTTTATTTTGGTATCACTGTATTTAAAGCACTTGTACCCATGTTACATTAGCCTTTTTTATTATTCATGAACATTCTTTGGCAACACTATTTAAAATATGCTTAATTAGTCTTAATAAAGTAGGAACACAAGACTTAATTCATAGTGAACATATTGTTTATTAAGAATTAATGTTTGAGTCATTCTTAATAAACTATTTGCTCATTATGAATTGAATGTTTTTCTTCATGTTTATTAAAGTATAGTTATTATAATATTTATTGCATTCTTTGGTTAATTCACAATTTGAAATTTGCTGGAAACAACAATGAAGTTAGATGTGGAGTCGAAGTTGCATTATATACTGACTGAGACTATTCATCCCTAATCTCTACCTGTTACATACAGTGTGTGGGGAGGAACACAGTAGCTTATAACAATACTTTTTCAGATAACAGATAACAGTAACACACCTTCGCACTTTTGCTGTCTAAATGTCACATCTACTGGTGTCTCCAGTGGTCATTATTCAAATTGCCAAAGTACATTTATTAATCCAAAAACCATGACAATATAAAGCAGTTTAAGTGCTTTGTCCTGATTTTCAAGTTAGCACAGCTAAGCATCTTGTGGAGTTTCAAAGCTACAGTATACCTGGCATGACACCGTCCTCCACTGGCCTTTCAGTTGAAATTGTGCTCATAATGGGCCATAATAAGGGGCTGGTGGTATAGGAGCAGGCACTGTGCTATTACTGGGGGGCATGCACAAGTGACGCTGTAACACTGCCGGAGGTGGCTTTAAAAGGCTTCTAACTGTTGATGTAGTCGAAGAAGTGCAGAGTGGTCACTGGCTCGCCTACCCTTCAGAAACCTGTAATTAGTCAGAAATGCATCGTGTGTCGGAGGGGGTATTTTGAGAGAGGGACACAAAGGAGGAGTGCTGAAGAGGTGGGCAGAGCACCGGATTTCTTTCTTTCTCTCTCCTGTTGTTTCCAGTCAAGCCCTGTTTCCATAGCAACCTGCTGCTGGCGGAGACAGGGAGACAGCGGTGAAAAGCAGGGTGCCCAACCTGAGTGCGCCCATGTGCATGTTTGGCCAAGTATGTGTGTGTTCAAGTGGGTTTTTGTAGCTATAATGAAAGCTTCAACGTGAATGGCGCGCATCACTGCACAGGGTTTTATGGTGTCATACAAGGTAAATTCAATCTTTGAGGGTTTTTTGCTAAATTGGCATTTTTTGAGTGACAATTTTGTTTCCCCTCAAAACATACCTGTCCCTGCTGGGACATTTGAAATTTAGGTGTTTTTTTGTCAACCAAGAAATCCATACAACATCACCATAATTGTTCACAATTTAAACTGCATTTGTTGCAAAAAAGCTACTTTAAAATAGCAATAGTTTCATATAAACTGCCACACTTCTCTGCTTAATCAGGTGGCATGGCTGAGCACCTTTAGCCTATACAATGGTCAAGTTGGTCAATGTTTCTTTTTTCATTTTGATAAAAGAAAGTAATTGTAACTATATTATGTTGATAACAATTGTTGTACCAATCCTGTAAAAATGTCATAGACTGTCCATTGTGTTGTCTTTGCTGAATAGAAATATGTGAACCACTGCCAAACTTAATTGTCAACAAAGGATGTAATGAGGAAGATGAATCACTGGAGAATTGACTGAACTGAATAACATTGTGTGTTGAAAGAACATTAAAACAATTATATTTGGATTTGTAGGAGGTTATAGGGTGCATTAGGTGCCACCATTTGCATAAATTGTTAGATGCTGTGTTTGTCTTGTGGTTGCTATCTAATTAAAAGTCACTGTGTCCACCACACCCAGTGTTTAACATTCATCCACTTGACTTCCTTTGTGCTGGGTGCCTTTGGTTCTGGGCAGAGCAGATATTGGGCTGTATCTTTCATGTGTTTGTGCAAGTGCAACACGCCTTCACTATCCATCCACACCCTCTTATGAAAGTCTTGTTTTTCCTGTCCTCCTTTCCTGTGCTCTCTTTGGGAGCCAGAGGTTTAAAACGCCCATCTCCCAGGACCACCCCACCCATGTTGTCCAAGTGTCTGTCTGAACGTACAGTCTGTTCTAATTACACATTTATTTGTTTGGTCAAACTTACAGTGCAGCACAGTGAGGAATGGAGAAGTAACTATGTATACTTGAGTCTATGCAGCAGGGTGGGACGAGATGCAGCCTCTCTTACCACATGCTCCGAGTACACAGTTGGACACAGACACCTACTGTAGGGTCACTCCCAGTGGTTGGCAGTAAAACCACACCCACGGAAAGCAAAGGACAGATTAGTCCAAGCTGGTAAGTTTTGAGTTCTCAGAAGAGAATAGTTTAGTCCAAACTTAATTGTTTTATTAGGTATTTAAACACAGGTGCATTTTGGCAGCACAAACTTTAGTTAATGTTTAATTGCAAGCTGTTAGCTTGTGATGGTTCATGGCACCTATCTGTCTGGCTTGATGAAGAATCATTTTCAACAAACAATAGAAGCCTGTTATAATTATGACATAAACTAGCATAATTTCTTTTCAGGTTGTCTGATAATGAATTGTTCATTATATTTTTTTCTGTATTTTGAAATTAACCACTCCGTAGGCAATATTAATATGCAGTGTATGCACAAAGCCCACTCTCACCTTTGCCCTTGCTTTTGGCCTCATCGAGCAGAGGTAGCATGATGGCGTTGTTGAGGCTGGAGGGTGATCGAACAGCAGTGGTGTACATGAGCGGGAGAGACTGCACCACAACCGGGATGCGGTGAACATGGCTGGCCAGCTTCCCCGCTCCCTGCAGGCTCAGAGGGCTGGACGGAGGAGGCGGCACAGAGTGCAGGATGTGCAAATACGGCTGACCTCTGACGCCAGACCCAGGGGCGACCAGCGGGCCCGGGGAGAGCACCGAGGAGGCAGAGGTGATGACTGACGGGGAGGAGGAGGACGATGAAGATGAGGGAGAGAAGGCCGACCTGAGGGGTGAGGAGGAGGAGGTGGAAGAGGATGGACGAGGTTTGTTTATGGACAGATCCACTGGTTCAGTCTGAGTGTGGAAGTGTAGCTCATGTGCCAGGAGATCCTCTGAAGGCTCAGCTTTGACTCTGCTCAAGAAGAAGGGCATTCTATCCATGGCAGAAAAAGGCCGCACTTTGGGTGACTGTGGAAACAAGACAGACAGGCCTAATTTAATTGCCATAGCATTACATAATCTGATGTTACATAACTAAAATTATTATTTGAGAGAGAAAAGTTGTACACAGTGTGCACAATCAATGGTGAAATTTATGAAAATAGCATTTAGTTTCATGTTTTTTTTTATTAGTTTTTATTAATATTAGCTTGTTAGCTAGTCTTCCTTTGCTTAAGAGTCACTTTGTCTATGCCTGCCATCACCAACAATATTTAGGAACAGCCAAGTGGGAGCATCTCTCACACGTTCTTTCACTGTGGCGTGGGCTGCTCTACTAGACTACTACTCTCTTGTCTGTACTTCTCCTCCTGTTTTCCATCACTCCCACAGAAATGGCTGCTGCCCCCATCCGTGTATCTCTTCTAAATCTCCTTTGTGACAGTGGAAAAACATCATATGGGCTCAATTTCCTGCGTGTCTCTCTGTGCCTGTGCGTGAAGGGCCTCCTAAGGCCAACACTGGTGGCTCCAAGTATCCCTCGACACATCCTTCATTTAACACCGGGTAGACTGTAACATAACCGCTCCATCTGTCTGTGCACTTTCAAGAATCTGTGTACTTGGAAAACACAATAGAGAGCATACACAGGAGATACACATTGTATGTCCTTATACTATGACTTTGGATCAAATCTATGTACTTTCTTTTAATGGACAAAATGGGAAATATCAATTTCTTGCTACAAAATTTCTTCACCGTATGTGTTCAGACTAAGGTTTGTTTAAGAGTCACATTTCTCGCCCCTTACGTAACGCTGGCCAAATCCAAATCTGTGCTGAATTATTCTGAGTCAAGTTTTTGCGCCTGTCTGTTTTTATGTAGTAGCCGGTACTATTTATACTCCAGACTTGTATACTTGTATTTTCTCAGCCTACAGGAAATGTTATGACCTTCAGCCTGAATTTAAAAAAAAATTCTTGAGCTTACACTCTTTCTTCTTTGGAAAACAAACCCCAACCAGTAAAACAAGCCCTCTCGTGACCCCCTTGGACTTTCTGCTTGGGGTTCACTGTGAGGTTAGCCATGTCAGGGCAAAGTTCACAACATGTTATGAGCTTTTTAATGCCACCCAGCACATCTAACTATGGCTTCTTTCACTGGTTCTTGTGAATGGCTTCATTATTTGTTTGCATTAGGTTACAAAACAGTTTTAAAAAACTGACCCCATAAAAAGTTTTGAAACATGTGGCACCAATCTGATTCTTCTCTGATTCTGGTAAGGCAAGCATGCACTGCTCTGAATTGAAACCTTCATCAAAAAACTAAGGAAACTACATATACCATGATTCTTTGCTCCGTTCTAATGTAGCTAACAAGAAGAAATGAAACACTTCCAAACCCTTTAGAGAATGACAGTAATGATAACTCTAAAACTCACCAGGACATTTTAAAAGGAAAAAGTAGGATTTCTGCTTTGTCTAATACTGCGTACAGTGACGTGAAAACTGTAACAATATTGTGAGATTTGGATATTATTACATCCCTACTGACTACTGATATAATAAATCCTTTGACAAAACTATATATAAATGTCTTAAATCGTACTTGAATTGAGTGAAAGTTGTAATATTTCTTAATTGTACTACTCAAATTGAAGTGCAAATACCAAACATAGCTGATCTTGCAAACAGGGGAAGCTCTTTACATTTTCATTATCATATTCTGTTATTTAAGAAATTGTGAAATACCTTCACTTACATTTGTATAGCTAACTGTAATTGCATAATAACCCTGCTTTGCAAGTAAGAGCGTCAGGAGTAAACTTTTTTCATAATAAGCCTTGATTTCCCAATTTTGCAATTTTTCAAAATCTCGATTATTAAAAATAAAACTTAATTGAATTAATTAGATTGCCCAGCCCTAGAAACAACTTAATACATAAGACTGAACAAAATTTACATAGCAAATTCTAAATGTTTTCCACATAACCACACAGTCTTACAGATGCATTCTTGTATTATTAGTTTATGTTCACTTGCGCTGCTCAGACTGACCAGTATTGTGTTTTATGACCCTTTGGCTCTAATGCCCCACCCTGCTGCACATGATGTTTGGAGTGATGCGTTCTGTCTCAGATGTGATTGTCACACTCCAGCCTGCAGCCGTACACAGCCCTCGGGCTTTGAACCCTCAGCTCCTCCGAGACTGATCCCACTGTTTTCAAAGTCTTGTCTTTCTTGGTAAGTGCTCTTTGTGTGTGTCTGCTTGGATACTTAAAGCACAGCAGCAAAGTCAGTTTTTCCTTTTACGAGTGAAATCTGAGATAAAGAGGATACTAGAATATACAGTCTTAGGCAAGTGTGTAGTCTACATATTTATGGAACTGGTTTAAAATGGCATGTAGGTTTTTGTCTATTCAACTTAAAATCAAAATAACAACTAAATGGGTTGCTATCCAGTATAGAGTGAAGTGAGATTAAAAGGTGTGAATCTGACTGATAAAATAATAAGTTCTATATTCATGACAGCACTTTTTAACACCTTTTTTTTTTTTTTTTTTTTACTGTAATAACTGTTGAATTGGAACAGACGAAATCAGGAACTTGCATACATTTTAATCTGAGTCACTCTCCTCTTTAACTGCCTCTGAAGAAGGGAAACTGTGCTCTTTCAGGTACTGGGTATTAAACTATAACTTACATAGTTTATTCACTGCAAATTTCAAAAAATGAAACTTTCCTTGAGAACTCAAAGGACCTGCTCACATAGTGACATTTCACAGCATTAACAACAGCAGATTTTTATATATGAAAAATGCCTACGTAATGTTTATGAACTTTCGTATGACCCGGAGTGTACAGAGCAGTGGGCGAAGAAGGGGTGTAGGTGAAAACAGAAATTGTCTGATCACTCAAGCTTCCAATGTAGGACAATACAGGGTTACTCAAACTTGCATGACTCAATGGAAATACAACTCTGAGTAAGCAAATGATGAGGGAATACAGTTATAGCATTGGCTCATAAAAGTAGATTTTATATAATATATTCCCTTTAAAACAGATAATGATAGACAGACAGACTCAATACTCCTGCAATGGGAAATGAAACAAATTGCTGCTACCTACAATAAACTGCGTCCCTTGTGGCTTCTCAATATAAATGATAACAATTGTGTGGAAAGGTCAAAATAATGGCGTTATATAGGAAAAATGAAAAACAGAAACTCATTTACATCTGGAGCATTAGCCAGAACATCTCAACATGAAACTCGAACGGAAAACTTCACCCACCCCCACTTTCGGTTTGACAGATACAAAAACACAGTCTCCAACTCAGACTAACACATACACTAAAAGATATGGTCTGCCTGCCTCTGTCCTCATGCCATTGTCTTTATTAGGGGATACTGGTTAGCTGGGCAGATTTTCCAGCCCCTTGCGGGTGAACTGTCTAACAAGGCGGTCCATTTCCAGCAAGCCCCTGGCCCCCCGCCACCCAAATGAAGACCACATTTCTTCTTGAGCAGCCTAAACTGTCTGTCTGCAGTCTAAAGGCAGGGCTCAGTCGGGGCAGATTGGATCTCAGTGCAGTTCAAAGCATGTGGGCTGTGAGGCTGACTTCCTGTTTCTGACTGACACAGCTGTACATGTGGAGATGAGCAAAAATATTGGGTCACCATTAAATGTCTGGGCACCTAAGAGGACAGAGAATCATAAAGAAAAATAGGACTAATTTTGTTGGATGGAGGTAAAAATTATTCAATTGACTATAGCCTATCGAACCTTTCAATTAGATTCAGGATTTATATTAAAACCAAACAGACAATACTGCAGTTGTGGTTTTAGAGATGTCCAAAATTTGATTATCAAGTATATCATAAAATTATGCTGCAAAAAGAGCTAATTAAAAAGAGAAGACAAACTTGCAGAGCAATCATTCAAACAAGGACTAAAAGGTTTATTTCTGCAATTTTGTGGTTAATGGTACAAGCTACTCATGTTTTGTTTGACTTCACCCCAGCCATGATATTTACACAGTTTAGGCACAATTTAGCACAAGTATTACTATAAAATGGCAATCATAATATATTTTAAATTGATTAAAAACTACTTTACATATCAAGTGAATAATCCACCCCTATTCAGTATCATATTTTAGCCAGAATTTGCTACTTTTTATATAGAGTTAATTAGAAAATTATGGAAAATGGATACAGAAACAAAATGATATAGAAACAAAAGGGGTCACTATAGTTTCCTTTGAGTGTATTGTAGAGTACAGACAAAAGTGAGCAATGACATTTTAAGTAACCATGTGCCATCTTTTATCAAAGCTTTGTAAAGTCATATATCATCTTTATCAACAACAAGCAATAACGCACAATCCGCCACAAGAATTCCAGAGATAAGCTGATGTGTTATCAGCAAATGGCATTTTTCTCATCCATCATCCACTAATACTCCTCTCAATACACATCTCAACTCCTCTCGCACAAAGTGCCCTCGGTGATATATAGGGGGCAAGCAATTATTGATAGATTATGAATGGAAATCAATGACAAAACTGAGCATTCATTTATCATGATTACAAATATAAAGTGGCCTGCATCTACTGGAAACACAGCTGTGGCACAAAGCTGCTGTAACCTAGCAACCGCTCCTCCACAACAAGACCACTTTATTTCGAGGTATGTGTGAAAGGGAGAGTTTCAATGTGGGCCGAGCTCAACCTGAGAGAGGTGAGGCCATTATCAGCACATGTGGGACTCCATGAACACACTAAATATTCCATTACAGGATAGGGGATGTACTTCAACAAGTGCAATTTTTCACTTGCTTTCGAACTAAAATGTTATATTAAACAATCATAGAAATCAAATACCTGCTGTCAGTAAATATCTAAAATTAAACACTGCTGGTATTTGTGTTAAAAGCGTACTAGCTAGTAAGTACTAACAAAGATTATCTTAATCCAAGACTCGAGTTCATGTGCAATTTTTTTTATATTGCATTACTGGTTAAGGCATTTTCTACGAGAATACAAATTACACTGTGTTGTTTGTGCTGAGAGTCACACTACCACTAATTTATAATATTATATAATATAAAAACAGGTGAGTTATTTCAGATTTTTGGATGATCTTGCCATAATTTTGGACATTGAAATTAGGTGAAAGTTCACACAATTAAATGTAGCGATGCAGTTTGTAACATGACGCACTGCACTTTTTGTTCATAATTAGGAAAAATGTAAAAACATGTCAAAATAAAAAATGGACTTGAACTGAGAGCCACTAAAGGGCATAGGAGGATACCGGGAACCACACAGACATAAACAGCTAGGGCAGACTGATAGAAAAGATTTAGTTTCCCATGTAACCCTCCTCCCTGGAGCAGTGACTTCATCTGCATCCCCCTCAGCCAATGTGGACTCATTTCTGGCTTTGGTCACCCCCTCCCCTCTGCTTCCCTCTTCTCCCCCTGTACATTCCTGCTCCAGCTGTGTTTCTCCTTCCATTGGTCTTGTCTTGCTATACTTACTACCATGCTCTCCGACCACTCCTCTTAGCCCCCTCACTCTTTCTCTCGCTCACTTTCCTACGCCTGGGAGTGATTATCTGCCCATTGCCAGAAGGGAAGGAGGAAAAGCTGAAAAAGAAAATAAAATCTGGGAGAATTGTCTGGAAAACAACTGGTCCTCTTACCCCTTGTTCCGATTCCAGGGGCTCGGATTTGACTCGGACTGCAGGCATACCGTCAAGCATTAACATCCTGTTTGCGAGGCGGCCTGCAAAGACACACACAAAGAGGAGGCGTTTAGCGTGATTGCAATTTTCTATTCACACAATTCTCAACAAAACACTTTTAATCGAGGCAAACTTGTCCATTAGAACTGGCGCACAAAAAGATGTGGACACACTGTGTAAAATCTAGTCACAAGGCAGTGTGACCCCCTCTGGTTTACATAATAAAGATTTCCAATTGTGGAGAGGGCTGCCGCAGGGCTAATAACCCTTAAGACTTTAATGGAATACAAATACTCTTGCTCATATACAGTACAGGCACTTAACTGGGGTAACACAGAGCAGTTAGTTCCCTCTTTAGGCAACAGTGGTTAATGGTTACTTGAATGGAAGCACAAGCAAGAGCACAAAAACTTTACAAACTAATTCATGGTTTCCTGTCCGGGAGCACTGGGCTGTGTGAGGGTGAACGCTGCTCTGTGGCTTTAAGAGCAAAACTTAGAAGGTGCCAATGACAACAATGCAACATGCTCCTTAATCTCCTCTGTGGGCTACATGAGGTAACCATTATTATTGACAAGATTAGAAATACATATGTAATCGTGTATAAAGTAAAATACAACTAATGTGAGACACATTTTAGATGACTTCAATATTAGAAAAAAATCCCAAAACTTAGAACAAAGCAGAAAAAAATGTATTTATAATTACTAGTATTTACTTGATTCAACACAAGTCAACTTTAGGAGCTCTTCCAAAAGCCCTAGAATGATTTATCATAAAGCCCAGAGAGAATAACAATAAAAGTGTGATTGAAACAATATGGTGTTGAGCTGTATACATTCAAAAGCCTGTTCCTGCCAGTGAGGGTTGTATGGAGAGGAGGCTGTATGTTCCCCTCCCCAGATCTGGCCTCTCAGGTCTAAGTCCCTCAGGTACCCAGAGCTGTGCTGCTATTGTATTGTTGTCCAGGATGTCCTTCGGCTTTAGGTCTTGGTAGGCCCAGATAGTGTTGCCATAGTAACGGCTGGGCGGGCGGGTGGAGCTGCAGCCTCAGTCCAGCCTCAAGCCATGTGTGAGAAGAGGAGAAGAGATGAGAAGCACAAAGTCTGCTTTATTTTGTAGAGGATGACCACTATTTGAACAAAACTCATAAGAGTCGCTCTTAAAGTAAACCTTTTAAAGGTTTTGTTTTTATAAGCTTTTAAATTGTTACTATTTCACACTATAAACAGGTGAGCATTTCAAATGTTTCAGAAAACCTACAGTCGCCCTGCACTTACAGTCCAGTTAATCCAGTGGGCTGTGAACACCTTCCTAATGAACTGGCCTCAAGCAGGCTATTCATAGGAAATCAATGGTGAGTGCATAGCTCTGCTTGTGGCAGCAATGGCCCGCGAGCAGTGAAAAAGACCTAACACTGAGTAATGACGGAGGCAGGTTCACACAGAGGAGGTCAAGGCAAAATACTTACTGTCCAAAACACTGTAAACTGCTCCCATATAAAAGCAAAGAACCAAGTACCATTTACAGTTTGTGACCCAGAGATACAACAACCACCAAAGATGAGGTTTGAAGTGAAGAGGTAATAAAACAGTGGGCTTCCTATCGCTAAATTTGGTGTGCTGGCGGCAGGCGCGGACAACCAGTAGTGCGCTGTCCATCAGCAGTGAGCTCTGTGTGTGGGAGATGGAGAGAGGGAGGGGGCTGGAGGGAAACAGGCTAGATTAAGATCACCTTTCCATTTGCTGCACTCTGAAATGAAATGGCCATCCCAGGTGTGTGGGGGAGTGAGGCGCACGGTGAGGAGAGCACTGGAGTGTTGAGGCATCTCATTTCCCACCCATCCGCCCTCCGGTCTCCGCCAAAATCCCCACAACTAATTCTACACGATGCAACTTAGAGCTGAGGCTAGGGTTTTGATGTCTGCTATGTGCCTTTTTATGACCTAAAACAGCCCCCACATGGACATGACCTCTGCACCATTATCAGCTGCTTTCATGATGCCTCTACCCTCCGCTCTGATGAAGATGGAGAGGAAAGATAAGGACTCACAGCACTAGTCAATGCATCAACCATAGCAGTTACCAGACTTCTGAGAAAGCACCATGTGGACCTCCTATTTGTGACATGCATATATCAGTTTCATGCATTATGTATAAAAATATATTTCAGATCTGTTAACTACTTCTTAAATGATTATACAAGATTAAGTATGCTGCTAGTCCTGAAAAAATAAAAAAGAATGTAATAAAAGTATATGTATATAGCTCTGGTCTTATATTCCAACTCAGTGAGACCTTTTGGGTTAAATAAAGTTTAAATGTCATACTCTACATTGTTTAAAGTATAAATGATGAGTGAACTGGGGCTTGGAGAATAACTGAGATGATCTTAGTATGTCATTACATCGTAAAACACTGAACAAATGTACATTTACAGTACATGTTCTGATTCTTGTGGTCTCTTTCCTCTGTGAATTCTCTTGCAGTTCTGCGCACACACAAATACCACACACTCTGTGACAGACGGGCCCCACCAATGCTTTGTTCCCATGTCGAACGCCCAGAGCCACTTGGTGCATCTGTGTCACAGAGGCTGGACCTGCTGCCACAAAGCAGAAGAAGTGCCCATAGTGGAGGGTGTGGGGTGGGCTGAATTATGGGAGATACATGAGGTAGGATTAAGGGCGCTGATAGCAGCCACAGCGGGCTGATGGGGGCTTGTCCAGGGACTCGCTGGCAGGAGCAGTGGCTTGGGAAGCAGCGGAGGGGGGCTGGAGAGGTTGAGAAGGGGGAAGGGTGTTTAGTGGAGAGGAGGGTGGGAGTCAGCGAGGGTACAGAGGGGATATGGACCAGAGCCAAGACTCGGTCGAGCGCAAAGCACACGGTGCAAGAATGCCAACAGACCCCTCACACCCCGAGCAGAGGAGAGCAAGGGAATAGCAAATAATGGAACACATGTTTATGCATGAGAAAAGTTATTAATAGTCTCTATACACTGTATTCAAAGTTAACAATGATGCTAAAGGTGATATGAGCACGTCCTGTATATTGTGTTCCACTGCCCCCTCCACGGAAGCTCACTTCCCTTTTCTGTGCCCCTGGACTCCACACTGTGACATATTGGCCCGATAACCAACCTACCACTGCTTACTAACACACTCCTCTCCTTGTACTTTTAAGAGTACGCAAAATATGTCTGACAACAAGCAACATAGAGTGGACAATTTAAGGATATCAGAATAAAAAGATGTTTTTAAACAAAAACATATGTACTATAAAACTTTTAAATCACTCAGGATATTTATAACCTCAGCCTCAGTCAACGCTATGTCAATCTGTGTATGGTTATGACCTCATTGTGTTGGCCCCATTCTGTGTTTGAGCCATTTAAATACTTTCCTGTATAGTCAAGAGCGTTTGAGCCTGTGCCTAAAGTGGTGAAAGCAGAGAGGTGAGCAAATGAACTGCAGCCTTTTACCACTTAACCTCAGCTGAAAAAACACCTGCAACACTAGACATTTAACGCCTGCACCGGGACATATTTGAGTCTAAAACTGATTTGCTTGACAAGCCAGCTGCCCTTTGCATCAAACCTGCAGGGCTCCCTCTAAATGACTGTGAATTGAACTGTATTTCTATGACCAGGGTAAAACATGTTCTCTTTCACTAGACCTCTGGATGGACACACTTGGACACAGCATTTTTTCGAATACTTCCTGGCAGTGCGTGAATGGTCTAAGAATTTCCATTTCATAAACTGTATTTTCCTTGGCAGGGTCGGCGAGCAAAGTCATTCGGATGCTACTGGGACATTTTTGAACAGGGCTCTGGAGAGGACTGCTACTTTCCTGCTAATAGAAGCGTAGAAGTCCTCAGCCCAGACATCCACAATGGCACACAACCATGCTTTATGTTCATATTCGAAAAAGGAGAGAGATGGAGAAGGTTCCCTGCAGGGTGAAAATCCTTTAGAGATGCACTTAACTGATGCACTTTGCCTCAAAACAGCATGCTCTTTTCTCCAGACACTACATAAGGTCCACTGCGGGAGAACTCTGCTCTCCTCACAAACCTGTACATACACATACACATGTTGAATGTTGTGTATTTGAACAGCACACAGCTTCACAATGAGGGAGGAGGTATTTACTGAGCTATATAATAAGACTATCACCTTGAGCTTGAAAATAGTCATCCTACAATTACTGTGCATTTGATAACATTAAAGGTACCTTACCTTTCTGGTTATTGCTTTGGTATATGGTATTAAAGTTATCTATCTTGCATTTAAACAGTGTTTTTATAGCTACAACATGTTTCTGTAGACTGTAGAACAGATACTGTGGAGCATTCCAGGCAAAATAATAAAAACATTAACAGCATATACAGTTTTGGACCCTCTACCAGAAATCTACTACATAAATAGTACACACCTTTAATTTGAACTTTGATATAATTGGTTGATTCTTATTTGCAAAAACAAAAGGAAACATATTAAAAGAAAAGTCATCAAAATTGTCAGGACATCCAAATACAGTATATATGACCAGCAATGGCTTAAATGTTAAATATAAGTTACAATTACAAGACCAGAGCCTTTTTGAAGTAAGACTCTGTAAATCTCAGCATGACATTGATATAGATGTCATAAAGAGGTCAGAATCCCCAGGGGACTAATCTAATGGGCACGAATGTAATGAGTGTGAACATTATAGACTTGCTAGAGAGACTCATCATAAGAATTGAAATGAGGAGAAAGGGCAGAATGGTGGACACACAGGCAACTATTGTGGCTACTGTTGATTAGTAAACAAATCCAGAAGGAAAGATCTTTGTGTACAGCACCGTGAATATTTACATAAACTTAAACATGTTGTTGTTTATGTATCTTCAGTATCAGTGTTTAGCACACAATGAAATATGAGGCTATAGGGCTGCTAACTTCAATGTACATGCCGTCACTAGTTATACAAAAATAGGAAAAGGCTATCAGAACAGAAGAATGATTCTGTATATGTTTCTACAGCCATACATTGTTT